CCTTGTGCCAGCCACTGGCCACATCAACCTGCCCAGTGTTTGATTGTTTTTGTTGTTATGTTTGTTGCGTCTTATTGCTTTTCTTTTCTTTTGTCTCTCCTCTATCCACTCATCCCATCTGGTCAAGGCAGAGGCCGCCCATCAAGAGCCAGAGTCTGTTGAAGGTTTCTTCCCTTAAAGGGAGTTTTTCCTCCCTGCTGTTGCCAAGTGCTTGCTCAAGGGGGATTTGTTGGGTTTTCCTCTATAATAATAACAGTAAGGTCTAAACATTTCTTTAAAGTATCCTTAAATGACTTGTGTTGTGATTTGATGCTATACAAATAAAATTGAATTGAAACATTTATATTAAATTTTTCCTCATATTATCTTTCCTATTTGATTTTCACTAGTTTTTCTCTTTTGAATGCACACGTTCTCATTTTTATTCTATTTCTTTTCTTTTTTTTTGTTGCCTTACAAAACATATCAAGAGCCTCTGTACTGAAGTCATATTCCTTGCATGTTTAAGCATACTTTGCCAATAAAGCTGATTCTGATGTGTGGTTGATCCACTGCTAGGCTTCTAGGATATGTAGGGGTGGCGCAGCCACTGAGAAGTGACACATAACTCTTGGAGTCATTTTGGTGTTACCAGCTTGCAGCGTGGAGCCATGAGCGGACTGGCCATTGGGAGTTTTCCCAGTGGGCAACTGGGTTGATGAACCACATTGATTGGTATATGCCTTGAATGACTGGCTCATAATGTTATGTGAGGCCAAAGCTTGTGGCTGCTATACTCTATAGCAGAAATGTTGAGAGACAAGAAAAAGAAGTCACTTCAGGTGCATGCAGCCAAGTGTTTAAAAATCCACCACCAGGAGTGAAGATGTCATTCCGACCACCAGCAGTGTTATGGATGAAACAACCTAGACATCAATAATGGATGTTTCATTAGCAATGCCCATTCATAGCAAACACAACTTTCACAGGCAGAGCCAGAGCCAGCAAAGCCCCTAGATCCCTGGGAAAGCACCAGTGACAGGGTAAAGTTCATGATAATGTATATTTGGCTAGCTTGCTTGTTAGTTCTATCAGGCACAAATAAAGTAGAACAAGCTTTTTGCTTTTTTTTTTTTTTTTAAATAGAGGGGGAAATTATAATCTCCTGAAGATAACTTCAGTTTAATATTTAGTCAGATCTTCATGAATATTTTGAAAACACCAATTATATTAATATTTTGGTTTGAAATATCATTTGTTGTGTGATGGAAGTGACAATTTCCCCTAATAGTTAGAGTAAAATGTCAAAACATATGTCATTTAAATAAGTGAAACTCTGCCACTATCAGGAAATGTTTCTACACAAGATGGAGTTATAAAAAATATCAAAAAAAATTTAGAAGGATGTTTAATTTTCAGATTTTCTCCCAAAAGTCCATAGTTGAAGAATCATCCAATTATGATGGCCAACTACTTGTTTGATTACTTTAGAGACTAACCAGAAGTCAGATCTTTTTCCAAGTTTATTGAAACAAGAACTACTAAGGGCGGCACAGTGGTTAGACTGTGATGGAAGCTGAATCTTTCTACCCTATTGATGCCCATCAGCAAATCATGGACAAGGTCACAGACAGCATGCATCAGACATTCTTCAACAGTGACACTCTATATGCAGATTGTCTCTTCTGTACTAAAAAAAAACTTAAGCCAGGTAACATCTTATGCCAGTGGTTTCCCAGAGTCAGCACTCAAAGAATTAAGCACATGTTTGCTTAAATTCAAAGAAAGGGCAACAGTGGTGAATTTACAAAGGAAGCTCATCAGCCTGGCAGGACAAGAAGAGGTTGAGGTTGGAGACCTCTGTATTTGAGGAACACACAACCAGGACAACAGAGGTTGGGCCTGAGGGTGATGATGAGGTGCAGCTGGTGAACAGAAAGTGTTCATCTTGCATAGACTGCTCACTGTGTTACAGTGTTCTCATGCAGTACAACCTCCTGACTGATGCACACCAAATCACTGGTCTTGCATACAAGTTCCTCCTGACTCTGTCAGTCACACAGGTAGCTTGTAAGAGAAGCTGAACAAACTGAAAACCTCTCTTGCTTTGTCAGGACAGTCGGCTGACCAGGGCTAAAACTCCAGGGCCGTTTTTTTGCCCCAGTCTTCCCCCTGTGGGGAGCCCTTGGCCCTAGGCATTCTTTTAACCCCTGATCAGAAAAACAAGTGAAACACTGTTTTTAAATCTTGCACAACATTTCAGTTAATCATGTCTCTCGATGAGCTTGGTGCCAGGCAGCACAGTTACTCTGCTGATAGTTGTTATAATTAATTGCTTAAGTGTTATTTTCCATGCTGGTAATTTGAATTGGTATTTTAAAAATGGCTTGCGAATGTTTTCATCCATCCTTGTTAGACTGGTGATTAAGGTGCAGTGCTCTCGCCGCTGTGGCCCAGGTTCAAGTCAAAGTTATGTGAGGAAGGGCATCCGGCATAAAAACATGTGGTGACCCCTAAACAGGAAAAGCTGAAAGTGACTTTCTTTCTTGAGAATGTCTTCGTTTTCTGATGGTGTAATGACGTGTAGGCTGTGTCCATGGACCTGCAAGGTGCAAACTACAGTGGAAAATGAAATGTTGTGCTTCACAGTACGAGACATGAAAGGGCTGTAACAGTGTGATCACTCTGCTGATGGGAGGTTGTGACAGACAGGTATCTCCACTGCTGCACTGGTTCATTTTTTAGTTACCAAATTATCTTAATTTTGTGATCACTTTCATTTCTGGTGTTATGGCATTATTGCACTGGTGGGAGATGTGAGCGCACCTCTAATGAGATAAACCACAAACATTATCATTCTATGATCTAATCTGTAGCGTTTGATGAACTCACTGTCGTTTGTCTTTCCACCGCACTCTTAAAGAGCCGATGGAATGCTTTTCTGTGTTTTCTGACTTATCTACAATGTTATAAAAATGAATTATCATCTTAAACGTGACTGAAAGTTCAAGTACTGAGGTGTACCAATGCTGTTATGCAGAAGCAACTTGGTTTATATATGCCTCACGAACTCTCCATCAGGAGAAAACTTTTAATCGATAGTGCAACTTGATAGTTGAATGGTCATAATCTCCAGACAGTTGTGTGTTCAA